TTTTAAAAAAGCTCATTCTGTTGAATAAATAAAACAGTTTCTGGATGTAGAAGCTGAATGATCCGACTGAGTTTTTATTCATTTGATTTAAATGCTCAGGAAGTTTATTTTCAAATAAATACCACAAACAATGCCTGGTTTTTTTTTATTTCTATTAATGCGTCTAATTCAATACAACTTCCGACATCACATTTCACAGCTTTTTGCAGTTTGAAGCAGTTTGTTTCTTGTGTTTTGCTGAAAATAATCCAATCAGAGCACATTTCTCCTGGTTTCATTTTTTTTATAAAACATTCCCGTTCTTCACCACGTTGTTGGAACTTGATGCACGGCTCATCAAGTCGGCTGTTTCTCATCCTCTTTCGATGGAATGTGTTTTATTTATTTATTTATTTATTTACTCCTGCAGACGTGCGTAACTGTTTTAACCGTGTTTGTGTGTACAGCTGTGATCATTGTAATCTAATCCGTTGTTTATTCTGTTGTCCTGCATGCCTGCCAGTGGATTATAAAGGTGGGAATGGCTGTTTTATTTCACCCTGCTCCTCTGTAAATTGTCCAACGGTTCTTGCCGGTAACTCGATAGGTGACCAGTGTAAAAGTAAGAAGCCTTTATCTGCTGCCAAAGCCTGCATACCTCAGATTCTGCCCTCCAAGTTCAAACCACGGCTGGTGCCGCCCGGCGGTGGGAGACAGGAAGGGGCCGTCAGGCGCCCGAAGGCCCACAGCTGCGAGGATCTGTACGCCGGGCCCTGCCACCCCGATGACGGAGCGGAGGACGGCAGCGACGGGCCGCGCTCACTCTGCGACAGCGATGGCGGTGGTCTGACGGACGACCCTCCCGCCATCAGGAGGAGCGTCTCCGAGTTCTCCAGCCTGTACCGGACCATGCACCACATCCAGAGGCCCAGCTCGGTGGGCTGCAGCCCCCAGGGCAGCGTCCGCAGCCTGGCCTCCATGTTCGAGAAGACGGAGGGCGGGAGGTCCGGGGTGGACGGCGGGGGTCACGTTCCGCGGGACAACGTGTCCTCMCGGGTCAGCGAGTTCGAGACCATCATTCAGAGGTCCGTCCCGGCTCCGAACCGCTCCTCCTCRCTGCCGGCTCTGCACAGTCCGGACCCCGGTCCCGCCCCGCCCTACGTGGCCTCTGCCGTGTCCGCCGAGTCCCTGCTGGCCGGCGATCGGACGCGGGKGGAACCGGAACCTAAAAACTCCACGGAGGAGGTCCCGGCGTCGAACCACGAGGCCGTGGAGGAGACGGGGACCGAGTCTGCCGGTTCCTCTGAGGCTGAGGTGGAGCAGATCTTCAGCTCCCAGGACTTCATCCACCAGAACCATCCAAAGACTCCGTCGCCCAACCACCACCACCACCACCACCAGCACCTCCTGCACCACCTGAACCAGCAGCACCTCCTCAGACCCAGCAAATGTAAGGGCTCCTGCCCGGCCTCCTACACCCGCTTCACCACCATCCTGCGACACGAGAGGCAGCAGGAGAAGCCGCCGGCCACCGAGAAGAAGACCACGCCTCCCGGGAACCTRTTCCTCATGGGTCCGGCTCCCTTCAGGCTGCGGAAGAACCTGCACCAGAGCAACCGGACCCCGCTGGCCACCAGGGTGAGCGGAGGCCCCCGACGGCCCTGCAGCCTGTCCCCGGAGCTCAGACCCCTCATCCCGCGGCGCCTCTCCTCCCTGGAGGTCCTGGAGAAGCTGAGTCACGAGGGTAACGAGCAAGGCAGCTTGGATGCCAACGGGAACCCACTGGCAGATCAGCGCAGAGGTTGCTATCTCATCCCTTCACCTCCGTCACCCTGTCCCCCTCTGTGGTCACTCATCTGTCTCGACCCAGTCTCCACCTTTTCCTCCACGCAGCAAACATCACCGCCTCTCATTTCTGGTCTGCGTGGTGTGTTTGAGTTCTAACTGTGCTGTTGAACCCCCTCCATTTCACCCCAAACGACGACAGCTCCGCCCCCACAAAACAAAACAAACACAGATTGAGACGGTAGAGGTTCAGGAAGCTTCTGGTAACATTTCTGAGTTACATCTTTACCATGTGGCGCAGAGGCCGAACCCTTAGAGTTCGTCACATCAGTCTGARGCTGGGCTGCAGCTGTTGGAGAAACGAGACGATGTCGTCAAAATTTATAGAGCTTCTGTTTCCTCTGGTTCTCATTTCATACATTAACCTGTTTCAGGAGGTCTCGATTTAAACTTAAAACCATCTGAGACCACAGCCTGAAAGTCCAAACACTCAAGATTTCACCGGTGATGCATTTTGGTCCAAATCTATGGGATAAAACTTGTAKCAGCAGGAAGTGAATCTGATTTCATTCATAATTTGAAAATGAATGCGTTGGTTTGAAAATAAATTTAACTAAATTGTAACTGAATTTAAAGTTTTGCATTTTGCATTTGTTTTGAAACTGTATTTTGGTTTATTAAAAATTCAGTTTGACTACTTTCACTTTCAGTTCCATAATTCAGATTTTTGT